CAATTGGTCCCAAATCTAACTGACCGTTAAGTCACCGTTAACTCTAAGGACTAAAATTGCAATTGTGGGACTAAATTTGCAATTTTCTCATATTTGATATATATAAAATAACTTTTCGTTTTTATTTTTATTTTTTATAATTTTATTCACCTCTAGAGTTATATTTTTATTTTTTATCAACCACTATAATCATAATAAAATTAAATGATGATTTTTTAAATATATTTATTATTTAATTAAAAATATTTGAAATATAGAAAACATTGTATTGCAATTAAAATTTTTAATATATTAATAATGATATAAATTTAATTTTATTTGAATTTATATATATAAAATATATTTAAATTTATATTTTTTACATTAAAACATATATAAATATTATGTTATATATCAAATATGAATTTAAAAAATATGAATTAATAAAAAATATTTTTGTCATATATCAAATATGAATTTAAGTTTATATTTGTGTTATATTAAAAATATATATAAATATGAATTTAAAAAATATATCAAATAATAAAATTGACCAGTCCGATCAACCAATTTAAAATTATATATCAAATATATCAAAAATAAAAATATATAAATATGAATTTAAAATTATATATTAAATATATATATATATATACACACACTCATATATATATATATATATATATATACACACACACAATTGACCAATCTGATCAACCAATTCTGACTGGTTCATTGAAAACCAGTTCTTTCAAATGAATCCAATTATTTGACCGATTCTAAAAATTAAAAATAATAGTAGTTGATTTTATTTTTATTTTTATTTTTATTTTACGTTTTAAATTTTTATTAACCTCTAAAATTATATTTTTATTTTTTATCATCCAATATAATTATAATAATATTATATAATTATTTTGTAAATATATTTATTATTTAATTAAAAATATTTTAAATACATAAAACATAAGAATATAAATTCAAATATATTTGAATTTATATATATCAAATATATTTAAACTTATATTTTTGTTATATTAAAAAATATAAATATTTATTAACTTATTTAAATATATATATATTATTGACCAGTCCATTCAACTAATTCCAATTGGTTCATTGGAACCAATCCGTTTAAAGGAATCAAACCGTTTAGTTGACCAATTATCGATTCAACAACAAGTTTGGCCGAGCTTTCAACCAATAGTAGTTGGTATTACTTTTATTTTTATTTTTATTTATAAATTTTATTAACCTATAGAATTCTATATTTCTAATAAAATTAAGTAATTATTATTTTTTAAATATATTTATTATTTAATAAAAATTAATTTTAAATATAGAAAACATTGTATAGCAATTATTATTCTTTGTCTCAAAACTAAATTTTTACTATCAAATATTGTTATATACTTCCGGAATAAAAATTGCAACAAAAATTAGTAATAAAACTATTTTTTTAATATTTGGGACTAAATTTCCAACAAAACCAATCTTATGGGACTATATTTGCAATTTTTTCAATATTTGTGACTAATGACAAACGGTGACTTAACGTTCAGTTAGATTTGAGACCAATTGCGCAACAAAAATTAGTTAAGGACTGAAATTGCGCCTCTTGGGACTAAAATTGCGAACGTCCCAATCTAACGGGACCAAATTTGCAATTAACTCTTTGAATATATGTAAAATTCTATAAATACCCCTTTTAGTTTTTAATTGAAATTTTGAGCCAAACTGAAGTAAAATTTTGTCAATTAGATTCCAATTGATCTTAGAGTATCACAGATTAACTTTTAGTACATGAGATCCCATTTCTTTCCTTTACACTCGCTATTATTTACACTTCCCATTTATCTTTTTCTATTCTAAAATCCATTTAGAGAGGGGATCCAAAAATATGTATATGGCGAAAAAATTGTAGAAAATTATAAATAAAAAACTATTCATCTAAAGAAAAAAAAAATCATCTAAATATGTAGAATAGAAATTACTAAATTATACTTTCGTCAAGGGAATACGAAGATCACTCAATGTGAAGAAGAAAAACAATAAATATACTACATATGAATGAAATTTTATTTTTTTTCCCTTTATTATTCTAATTATCATTATTATATTAAATAGCCTGCATTGTACCCATATAACACAACAGCTGCAATAAATAAGGCATTTCTAATATCTCTCATTTTAACCACATGTCCACACGTTTTTGCAGAAGTATTCAATTGCCTGGACAAGTTCAAAGATAGCCAAACAACCAATTACTTGCTTTGAAACCAATGGCAAGCTTGAAAATGTTTCAGATTTTTTATTAATAATACAACATAATCAGCAGGAGACAACCACATTACCAGAGGAATCTCTTACGAACCTCCCTCTTTTTCTGCGCGTAAACTATTTGTTGCTCTCATTTTTCTCTAGCCAGCGTCGGCTTCAAGAGCTTGCAGAAAAGATAACGCGTCTGCCGAAAACAAAAACGAGAAAGGTAGAATGAATAACCACAGAACATACAACTCAAATAATACCACTCACCTTTTGAAAAGGTATAGATACAAGATTCAAACCCCTGTACCTTTTACAGTTTATTTGCTATTTACAATCCCCTCCCCAGCTCATATAGATAAGTATGGTGGTCCGACACGGTAAATAAAGATTGCAATTTGCAACTCCTCGGTTTTGTCCAAATAAAAGACTTAACTTTCCCCAAAAGTGTTACCAAAATCGTCCCATACAGAGTAAAGGCAACACTACTTCTATAGCAATTATATGGAAGAAACAATGAAAAACTTACAATGAAAGAGTGATGATGTTCCAACATTTATGAGTCAATGATAAACACGAGAAATCCGCAGGATAGTATGGACAAACAAACAATGATAACAAAATGGTTAAAATCCCAGTTTCAACTGCTTCACTATCAAGTATCAACACTCTTGCGATTTTCATAAGCAATTTCAATCACACGCGAAATCATCACTTGGCAGGCATATTTTTAGACAAGATGTTTTGCCCGATCACCAAACCAGTTATCAGCTTCTATCCAACCAAGTAGCCACATCTCATCACTTCATTAATTATTATAGGACAATAATCGGCATTCATATCCATGTTCAAATATTTATCTCGTCGTTAAGGTCTTCAGATATCTCATATAAGCATATATAAAGCTCACACGGCTAAAACACAAATGCAATGTTCAACCATATTCGCAGCAACACGTGCATATATAGTCAAGACTGCCAAATGCCAAATTACAGTAGAAAAGTTCACATAGCTCAAACGTCTCAAAATCTCAGGAGTTGACTTTGCAAGTTTATGAATTAAAAGAATGAGGGCAATACCTGGGATCAAGCCGCTCAACAAGCAAGGCATCTAATCTACACAAGTTCAGTTGAACATGGTACTGTTGGGCAAAAACTGACTAAAAGATCATAGACAATCGAGGTTCTAACAGTATGTTGTAAAGCACATTTAACCGAATGGTATTGACAACTTCTTCAAACAATGATCACTCGTGGGAACAAATGATTTTGTTCAATAGAATCAATTTCCAAACATCACAAAAAGGATGACGAAAACTTTTCTTTTCCAGACAGCAGCTTCAATCAAACGGCTCGACATTATCTATATGGTTACGGTTACTTTGAAAACACGAATGAATTTCTTTTACCACTCAATCTGCCATTTATTCTATGCTATGACCACTCCAGTTCAATGCAGATCAAATCATTTGTATTTTTTATCAGATATGCAGTATGAACTTGCTAAATCAATCGTGTCCACTAACAAAAACTGATTAAAATTACTAGAACAAATTCAATCGAAGCACAAATATAGATCGACGAAACTCATTTCACAGTCTTGGACCCAAAAACTGCAAGTGGAAAAACTTACTTCACATCACCTAGAGACTGGCAGTTTGAACTGATGCACCCACCGCATAATCCACCACCAACACGCCGTCGAGAAGCCCCCTGACCTTATCCTTCTCCTCATTCGCAGCCTCCGCCTCCGAATCCAACTCCTCCAACTCCTTACTGCCTTTGAAAACCGCAATTGAACAAATCGAGAAGCCCTTGGCCCGGCCCAGAGAGAAGTTCTCCCCTGCGGTCAGCTGCTCGATCGAGGTAAACTTCTCCTTAACCTCCCTCACAACCCTCAGAACCTCGCCCTTCCCACTCTCCCCCGCGCTCTCCTTCAGCTTCAGAACCGTCAACCTCACAGCCGAGCCGGGAGAAACAGCCGCCGGGCCGGAGAACCCGTCGGCGACCCAATCGACGGCCATGACGTCCTCAATAACGGGCCTGACGTAATTAGCCACGACGCTCACGTGCGTGGGGTGATCCGAGTAGGCGGCCAGGTCGGTTTTGGATCTGTACCGAGAGTGGAGCATGTGGGTGAAGGCGAGCGATTTGGACCGGCATCGGGCGACCGGGCCGGCCGAGAGGTGGATGACCTGTTCCAGGGAGGTGAGGCCGTTGAGGTTGGAGATCATGGCGTCGACGGCGGACGGATCGGCGTCGGGCTTCACTTTGAACAGCACGATGTGTTCGATGATGTGATTGCCGGTGGTGTTGGAGTGGGAATCGGAGGACGACATTCTTATGGCGGTGGAGGATGGCCGGAGGGGGGATCGGGAAAGGGAAAGAAGAGAGGGGATGGAGCGGAGAGGGGCCGAGGAAGGGCGGCGGAGGGATACGGCGGAGGGTAGGTGAGTGCGAGCTGCGGAACTTGCGGTTCTCAAGCTCAGCAACATTTGCAGTTTGCTCCTACTTGGATTGGGATTGGGGAGGGGGTTATACTAAGAGCATCTCAAATGCTCTTAATTGTATAGAAGAAATTTTGTCAAAATGTCAATAAATTAAATGGATTATGAATCATATATGAAAAATGTTAAGTCTACAACTATTAAATTAAAATATTATCTCTAATGCACAATATAGTCTAAATACAATATTGTATACTTATCAAATATTAAAAAAATAGAAAGAAGAAATTAAATTAATTAAATAATTAGATTGCTTATAATAGATAAGAATATTTCTCGAGAAAATTGTAAATTTGGTCCCGAAACTTTTGCTGTTTCTCACATTTGGTCCCAGGCACGTCAATTATGGTCCTTTTTTAATTTTTGTTGCCAAAATGGTCCCACTCCGTCAAGACTTAACGGTCAACGTTTATAGCCTGGGACCAAATGTGGGAAACAACAAAAGTTTTGGGACCAAATTTGCAATTTTCTCAAAGAGTAAGTGATAAAAATTATTTAAATTTATTTTTATTAGAAACAGTTTTTTAAAATTTTTTTAGTAAATGTTAAAAAGCTATATTACCATTATTTCCTAACAATATATTTAATTTATTTTTTAATAAATTATAAAAGATAAATATAACTAACAAACAATTCTTTCACATTTTTTTAACTTAAATTAAAGTTTAACTTGATTTTTTATGATTATTTAATTGGGTAACGTAACAAAAGGTGTATAACATAATTTTATTAATTAGTTCATGATAAATGAGATGCAAAAAAAAAATATATGATATATTTTAATATAAATAAGTGAGAGCAAATGTCTATTTTCACTTAATTTAATGCCAAATTTTGTTTTATTATGCTTAAAATAGAAATTTTTTATGTAGATGTAATTTGCATAAATAAATAGATTTTTCAATTTATAGGTGTCAAAATCAAATTAATAAATAAAAAATTATTAAAATAAAAATAGACAATAATACAAAAAATTGTTTAGATTGGGTTTTTTTTAATTCGTATTATTTAATAAAGTTTGTAAGGATATATATAAATTATCACATTATACTAATATTAAAAAGTGTAGACGGATTAGTATTATTGTAAGCATATTCACATTTTTTCTTATTTTGATAAATTGGATTATGTCTTTTGGTTTGCTTTATTTAATTAAAATAATATTATTTCTAAATATTCTTTAATTTAAATAATATTCAAATAATTGCTAATATTTTTTAAGTAATGACGGTAAAATATTGGAAAATAAAATAAATACCATACAATTAGCAATTATATCGCTTACTTTTCCACCCAAAATTAAAATTTATCAATGCCTTTACCTTTCCACCCGATACTTATTTTTATAAAATTATTTTTAATATTTATTTCTCGCATAATATTCATAGTAAATTAATTTTAATATGTCATTTCGGCTTTGAGTGAATGAGAGAGACTTGAAAAACTTGAAGAACTCATTTTTTTTTTCGAAAAATTGCAAAATTGGTCCCAAAATTGCAAAATTTGTCCAATCTAACGTCCTCACACGAGTCTCGTTAATATTGACGGACGTGGGACCATTTTGGCAACGAAAATTCAAAAAGGACCATAATTGACGTGTTTGGGACTAAATGTGGGAAACAGCAAAAGTTTTGGGACCAAATTTGCAATTTTCTCAATATTTCTCTCTCTTTTTTCATCGGTTAGATAGAGTGTAGAAGAGAATGTGGATGAACCACATTCTTCTCTAAATTGTAGACATTAATTATGTCCACATCATCACAATATTTGTGATCACATTGTACATTGAAGGTGAAAAAATGGTGAAATTTATTAAATGTGTTGATGTGGAATGTAATTTACCACAACAATATTTGACCATTGGAGATGCTCAACAGCTGATAGTGCTGTGAATTTTATAGACCGTTGGATCATCTTACTTTAATCTAATGGTTCTAATTTTATTTATTATTCGATCTCTTTTTCTTTTTTTTTTCAATCCTCGCCCCTTTTCTCTTCATTTCCCCAGTCCATTATCTTTGGGACACTTCTTTAAAAATCTCCTATTCTTTTTCAAACTTCCATGTCAGTCCCTACATAAAAAAAGTTCCACTGCACTTCCTACCCCCTCTAATCATTCTCTCACTTAACTCCCCCTTGTTAAAAATAAATCAAAATTAAATTGACTAATGATAGCATCCTACTACAATCTAACAATACACATTATTTTATTATTTTTTCCCTCTCTCTCTCCACTACTAACTTTTTTAATTTTTTATTATTTTTCTTTTTTTATTTTCCAGACATTTTTATCATTTTCTTTTTCTCATCTTTGGCTATTTATCTCTTCTACTACTATTTCTTCTTAATTTTTTGTTAATTAATATAAATTTATTTTTGTATAAACTATCAAAATAAAAAAAATATATATTTTACTAATCTTTATTTCATATAAATATATATTATACTAAATCTATAAATCTATATTTTTGTCGTTCAAATTTATCAACTAATTCTCTAAAATTAAATTATAAATTTTAAATTTATTGAAAAACATTTATTCAAAGATCAATCTAATTTTCATTGGTACATATATATATAAATATTTGTACAATAGAAAAACTAAATAATTTATTTTTATATTGTAAAATTATGTATAATGAATATAAAAAAAAATAATGAATAACTAACAAAGTAATAATTAATTCAAAATGGGGTCCATATTTTTGCACTTAATTTTCTTAATTTATTTAAAATCAATGACAAAACGCATTAAAATGATTATTTTATGGTGTATTATGGAATTAGATTTTTATTATATTCGTTATAAAATAATTTATGTTCTATTCATATTTTTTAAATTATTTTTTTAATAAATATAGTTTTATTTATAATTAGAGATGTAATTATTTTTTATTTTATATATGCAATATAGATGTCAAATCGGAGATCATTAAAATATGATTATTTTGAGATATAACATACATAAAATAAAATAAAAATAAAAATTATAAATATTTAAAAATAAAAAGAATACATATTTATTATAAAAATTATTATATGAATTAAATAAGAAAGAGTAAGAGTAGTATATGGTAACTTGAGAAAAAATGCCTAAAATAGTTATGGTAAATCTCAAGCCTAAAACGGAACATGTACATGTGTCAATACAAAACATATAATTATGCCAAATAAGCTTCTGAAGCATATGCCAAATAAACGGAACATGTACATGTGTCATGTACATGTTTCCATAAAATGAAAATTACCTAAAAGTAAAACAAAATATTTTTAAATTTCAAAATTAAAGCTCTGTTGAGTTCAGACCACTTGTCGAGTAAACTTAATTAAACACATTCAAATACTTATAGAAAATAATGTATAAGTGATTTTGAGTAATATAAACATCATTTAAGACCGAAATTCGATGTTCTTTTATGTTCATTGGAATTGGGACTGAAGACGCGATATTAGGTATTAAACTACCATTTAAATTGTGCAAAATTATATAAAATATGCTTATTTAAAATTAGTAAACAACTCGTACGGTGTACATAACTGATAATAAGTTACATTATTCCATTTCAAAATAAGTGTCATTTTAAAATTTTTTATTCAAAAATTCAATTTGAATACAATGTGGTTCCATTAAATAAATATTTTGATAAAATTTTTATCATATATCTAAAAATATATGTGAATTATAAGTATAGTATTACTGAATTATATTTTTATTATATTTATTATAAAATAATTTATGTTGTATTCATCTTTTCAAAATTAGTTTTTTGATAAATATAGTTTTATTTATAATGATAGACGTAATTATTTTTATTTTATATATGCAATATGGATGTCAATTGAAGATCGTTAGAATATGATTATTTTGAGATATCATAAACAAAAAATAAAATAAAAATAAAAAAGTTATATTGATGTAAAAATAAAAGAATAAATAATTATAACAATTATTATATGAATTAAATGATGAAGGGTGTCATTCAATGAAATGAAGTGTATTAGTAGTGTTTTCTCATTAGTGTGTCGAGTTCATGACTATTTTACGATTAAACTCAAATAAAAACATTTTAAATCTTATATAAACTAATGTGAGAGTGACTATGGGTCATATAAACATCATTTGAGCCCGAAATTCAGTGTTTTTATGTGTTAATTACAAGTGGTACTAAATACCCAATATCAGGTACTACAACAATATAAAACTGGTATTATCTTACTATATGTATGGTACTACTTTTTGTAAATGTTGACCAAAATTGAAATGATCCATTTTTGTTCACAAAAGTAAGTACTAATCAATCACAAACATGTAACACGTAGAAGAAGTTGTGGTACTATTTTGGCTAAAACAGGTACTATTTTAAGAATCGTGATTTCTTTAATCCTTCATGTCTACTATGACACGTAGATCGTTCACGCGTGATTTGGATGAAAAATAGTGGAAGTTAAAACATATAGGTAGAATTTGGAGTAGTCGTGTATGATGATTTAATTAGATGAAGTGTGTCATTCAATTAAATGAAGTGTATTAATAGTGTTTTTTCATTAGTGTGTCGAGTTCATCACTATTTTATGATTAACCTCAATTTAAAACATTTTAAATCTCATACAAACTAATGTGAGAGTGGTTATTGGCCATATAAACATCATTTGAGATCGAAATTCGGTGTTTTTATGTGTTCATAATAAGTGGTACTGAACACCCAATATCTGGTACTAAAACACCGAAATCTGGTACTATATTACTCTAGGTCTGGTACCAATTATCACAATGTTGACCACAACTGAATAATCCATTTTCGTTGACCAAAAGTTAGTACTAATTGATCGAAAACAGGTACCACTTATAAGACGAAGCGGTACTATTCTTCCCCAAACCGGTACCATTTTAATGAGATGAAGTGTTGGTAGTGTTATTCATTAGTGTGTCGAGTTCCTGACCAATTTGCAAT